ATTCCCCAACTCTCTGTGAATGGTACTCATGACCACTGATCAGTGCAGGAAACCTGCAGTCAGCTGAGACTGAAGAGGTCATCTGGATGAGTGACGAAACGTTTCTCCCACTGAAAATGTCCAGATGAACAGAATCAACCTGATGATTGAGCATCAAGACATTTTCACTTAGGTGTAGAAAAAAGTGCTTGTATGAAAGGGTCTGAATGGGTGAATGAGGCATGTTGTATAAAGTGTGTTGAGTGCTCCAACAGTTTAAAACAGCCATATAAGAACCACCACATGTACCGCTTAAAGAAGTCCAGTCACGTCCTTTTTTCAAACTCTTAAGAAAGGATCAGGTCATTGAGCAGTATTAATACTGTAGCACTATAACTGATGATAAGGTTACCTTTGAGCTTTAGGTGGATGCTGTCTGTAGAAATGCTTCCCAGCACATCTAATTTTAGGTTACTGTTTTATTAAATCTGCTCTTCCACTCTCTTTTTTGTCTGCTGGTGCAGGCACAATGATGCTTCAAGATACAGTGACAGAGTCCAGCACAATCGCAGGTGTGACCCTGAATGAGCTTCCACACCTGTAGAAGGTTATGGCAGCTCCTCTACACTCCTTATTAGAGGAGTTTGAGTTGATTCCATCTGGTTGTAGAAACAGTATCCCAGCATACAGGACTGCAACTCCCCAACCATTCGTCTTTTAAATAACTCACCATGTTCTCAATGGTCATATTCCTTTGTTGTGTATTTATTGCACATTATTGCATTTTGTTTGATGCTTGTGTGATTTCTACTGACTGCACAACAAATTTGCATTTGGGGATAATAAAAACCTCCCTGATCCTCCAGAGTCAACTTATCCTTCTGTCCTCCACCCGTTGTCTCTGTCTCTGTGTCTTGCCAAGTGCGTGGTGTATATGGACGTGGACATATGAATGGCCACAGTCATAATATATATGGACATACAGTAATAAGTTGAGAGATGTGATAAAGTGCCAGGCTTCTTCCCGCTAACCATCAGAGCATTCCACCGGAGTGTTGAATTCCATGTTTTGTTTCTTGTGGCTTGTCTTTGCTGTCATCTCCTTTGTGCATAGCCTCATGTACCAAGGAGGGAAGCGAGTGGAAAACTTGGAATTACCTGCCCAGTTTCTTTCTGTGGAGCCTTGGAAAAGCCACTCGAACTTTTATTCCTGCCTCATGTCCTGCGCTGGAGTCCAGTGTCCCATTGAAACTATAACACAACTGTGCAGCTCAGTTAAGCACCATAGTAATAATACTAATTCACTTTCAGTTAAGCTAATTTACACAAAATTTTATGACAGACAAAACAAACATCTAAGTATTTTTATTCAGAAAAAATATTTTATTCAATGAAATCTCCTGGAAAAGCTGTTAAGGCCTTGAAGGTACAGTATTAGAAAAACCGGTGAAGATATCTTCAAGAAGGCCTTCGATGATGTTGCCAACGCATGTAGAAGATAGAAGATGTGAAGCCTCCGGCAGAATCCTTTATTCAACACCTTTCATGAACTCCAGGAACTCTATCAGAGACAACGAACAGGTCAGTACATCAGTCACATCAGCAAAGCTATTCATTACTAACTATCCATGACTGGATACAATGGAGGAAACAACGTTATTTTGAACTTTTCTACACAACACTGTTTGATTTAAAATCTATGGGTTTTAAAATCAAAGTCAATAAATATCATTTTCACAGTTACTCCTTTGGATTTTGTTTAGTTGCCTTTTGAACTCAGTTTCTGGTTTTGTTACTTTATGCACTTTGTCAGCCACAATAAAGAGCTCGGTGACTCTGTAATCATTCTCAGTGAAATGGTTTGTGAACGTGATGAAAATATTCTCCTTATGTTGTCAGGAGTCAGCTGTTTTGTGCACATTTTAATTGCAAATAAACTGCTTCCCATACCATCATAATCAATTTTGCCATCATTGTTTTTGTCTCCATCCTTCATCAACTCTTCGATGTCATCTTCAGTGATGGCCTCTCCAGTGGACTCCAGCATGGACTTCAGCTCTTCTAAGTCTATGTATCCATCTCCATTCCTTCACATAAAAATACACTCATCAATCCTACGTGGAATACTCGCTGAGCTCTTTTGGCATTAAGATTTTTACTGTATGTGTACTTTTCATACGCAATAATATTCAAAACATCCTGCAATCTCCTACTGGCAGTCAGCAAAGATTTGTCTGGTATCAGGCTGGTGGTATTTTCTTTGTATTCTGGCTGCGTGTGAACAAAAAACGCAAAAGAGACCTACTTATCAAACATGCGAAAAAGTTCAGCCAACTCCTCCTCAGATTTTCCTTTGCTCTCCTCCTTCATGCAGCGGACCATCATAACCAAGAACTCATCAAAATCTACCGTCCCACTTCCTGTGAAAATACAGCAAATAAATAAATCAGGACTATAATGTCTTTTTCACCTTTTATTTTTTTTTAAATAGGCAAACCATGTCATGAAATAAACATGTTCCTGATGGCAACATACTAATACTGACATACCATCTTCATCCACCTCGTCAATCATCTCCTGTAACTCTTCAGGAGTGGGATTCTGTCCCAGCATTCTCATCACCTTTCCTAACTCCTTGGTACTGATGCAGCCGTCCTCTGCATCCTGAATGAAGATATCAAACGCAGCTTTGAACTCTGAAAAAACACATCGTTGTTGTTACTGAGATTGTTGTTAACGTTGCACACAGCAACAAACAGCCGATGCAGACCAGACTGATGCTGAGAATATAACATCTGTGAAGACAAAACGAACTTTGAACTGTTTCTATCAAGGGCTTGTTTACAGCATCTAATATTACAGGAATTCACTGATTATCCTTTGTTATGATAAAAGCTGTCATTTAAACACAAAGATCCAAATCCTATAATCTTATAATTTATCCACAATGGAAAACAGAAAACAAAATAAAATATTTACACTGGAAAAATACTGTTATTTATTCTGGCACCATTTATGGGAAAAAAAATAGGCTTTCCTGTGGTGTGAGGTTTATTGTCAAACAATGAAATAATCCAACAACCACAAATTTATCAATTTAGTTTTATTTATTTTGTTTGTTTTCTGTTTAATCATCTTTGTTTTGTCTAAAATATTTATTTATGCTTGCTTGAAAACGTAGCTTTACGTATCAGACACTTTACAATCTCAGGCCTTTTTTCACACATGGAAATCTGAGGCAATGATCATGAATCCCTCAAAAAGTATTTAAAATAAAAGCCTGAAATGGTTCATTGGTTTCTCCTGTCATGAAAAATCAGGATCTGTAATTGAAACAAAATGAACACAAAAAATAATGAAAACAAAACATATTCATATTATTAATATAAAGTGCTTTGAGGTGACTGTTGTTGTGATTTGGCGCTGTAGAAATGACACTGAATTATAATTATAGAACTTCTTTCTCAAAAGTGGGACGAATAAAGCATTTTTCATTTCATCTAATAAAGAGAAAGACAACAATGAAAAGAAGTTGTTTCCTCACCATTTTTTTGCTCCTCTGTTAAGTTCTCAACCTGGAGGAAAACATCACATTTTAATTGACATGAAATTCATCTGACTTGTGTTTTTCATTTGGTGATTGTTTGTGGTACTCAGCAGCAGCAGAGGTTCACGTCTGCAGCTTCACTCCTGCTCTCAGTATGGACTGCAATGTGACACTAATTTCTTCACTTGCTATTCTTGTTTATGGAAGTTGAGTTGACGGAGTCAGCAGCTGTCACTTCTCTTCTTCCCTTAAACTGTCCAGCTGTTCTTTGTTCTCTTGTCACGCAACATTTATTTATACATATAAAAGTGACATTTTCAAACCATTTTCAGACCAGCGGCTTGACTCCAACATGAGTTTGGTGACCTCGGGCAAATATTCAAATGAATCCCTTTTTCTTTTTCTATGAACTTTCTCCTAAAATTCTTCATTGAACTGCATTGTGAAGTTGGTCAAATATATCACACTGGTACACAAGGCTGACTGAACCCGGATTTCACTGTAAAGCTACAATAACGCAAAGCTTACAATAATAACATAACTTCACATTTTCAGGAGGACACTGACAGTTGTTAAAACTACTATACAATCTGTCTTATAATATAATTATGTAATTGTCCAATAAATATGTATATCATAGAAGACATGTTATAGAAGGAAATATAACAGCATACTCGGCATTATCAGTACTCACCGCTGCTTTATATACATCATCCATGGCTGCTTATCTGATCCTGCAGTTGAAACAAGAACACACTCAGACACAGCACGAAGACTGGCAGTTATAACTCCCTCTACCTTTATTGTGAGAGGACTGTGAAACTAAAAAAAGGCTCTTGACCTATCTCATAAAATTCAAGGAGGATGGTGGGAGGGGTGACAGAGGGATTAAAAGAGAGAAGTCTATAAATAGGAAACAACAGAAGGCAGCAAAGAACAGTGAAACACTGTCAGTAGCCCCTCAGCTCTCCACTGCAGCACATTTGAAACATATCACTGCAGGCTTCAGCTTTTTCTTTTGGTCTTTGAAGGTTACTCCCAGTAAACACCAGGACTGCTGTAGTTCCCAGTGACCTACACTTACAGGACTGTAATGAACCGTAATATCTTAAGAGCTTCTCTGATTTTAGAAAAGACATGGTGTCATTGAACCGCTGAGTGCTGGAGGGAGCTTTAGTCGACTTCCAGTGAAGAAGAAGATAACGTCCTGCCATTAAGAAAGTAAACGTTAAAATATTTATTGGTTAGAGGTCAACTGGGACATGGCAACATGGGGGGAAGGTTTAATGATCACTGAAAATGTCCTTTGCATGAAATCAAAATAATTCTGCCAAAAGTGAGTAAGTGATGAGCCAGAGAGTCAGTGAGACTGGGATGGATCTGTGACAGTCAGGTTTTAGAGAGAGCAGGACTGTATGAGAGAAAGCTGAACGCAGACTGAACCTGTGTGATTCTTTTAGAGCATTGTCTCACCAGTCACCCCCCAAATTTAGACCCAATTCACGTTCCCAAGCAGCCTTTAGTAACTAGTGAGGAATCAAAAAATGACATTTCATTATAAACTTTAGAGATAATTGGCTTTTGAAGAGGGTCTTGGCTCATAAGCTTCTCCCACTGCTGTGGAGAGAAAAACTGGGAATAAAACTTTGGCACAATGTCTAATCTGAAAGCACTGAAACAGGTCGGAAGGATGGAGATCTGAGAGAGAGAGAGAGAGATCTGTGACGCTGCGGAAAACACCATCATTGTAAAAATCATTAAAACATGCCAGCCCCTTATTATATCATGCTAAAATGGTTGAAACAGATGATTCCTCAATAAAGGAGATAACATAGATACTTAGAGAGTTAAATTTGACATGCCTCCTAGACTGATGCCAAATTTTCAGTGTGGAGTGAACTAAGGGTTCTTTGTGAAGCCAGAGAGGTTGGATGGAATAGGAGAAGTAAAGCATTTAGAGAGGATGAGAAACAGGACGGGGGCTCTACACTGCGCCATAGAAGGTCCAAAGATCTGAACCAAAAGGAGATTTTGTGGATATGCGCTGTCCAGTATGGAACAGGAAGTTAGGAAGTGACAATCCGCCTCTGAATTTTACATCTCTGAAGTGTGGATTTGTTCAGATGTTCATTTTAATCACACTGATTTTACCAATAAGTGAAAGAAGTAAGCTTCCCTATCTTTGGAGGTCCTGTTTAATTAGCAGAGAAAACAGCATTTAATGTTACATTGATCCTTGATGTTTAAAGTCAGAGGGGCCTAATTTAAAAAAGGGACATCAGAATGTGTGAGCAGTAATGATGATAGGCTAGCATTCACTTTTAGCGATGGTCACTCTATAATCAGAGAATGAACCAAATCTGTGAAAAGCAGATAAAATAAATGATTTGGAGAGAACAGGATCTGAGACATGCAGCAATAAATCATCAACACAAAGCGATAACTTAAATTCTGTGCCTAATTGGGAAATTCAGCTAAAAATAGAGGAGGACCTCAGAAAGACTGACAGGTGCTCTATGTGAACAATAGGGGGGGATAATGGGGACGCCTGTCTCGTGCCACAGGAAAGACTAAAAAAGCCTGAGTGAATGCTATTGGTGGAGATGCTGGCATGAGCAGATGTATAAAGGACTCTTATAGAAATGAGAGCAACAGATTTTGAAATTAATCCAGTTTTAAGTGAAACTACTGCAGTTGTCAATGGTGACAAAGGCACCTGTTTGTTCATTATGGAAACTGTTAGCCAATAAAAGTCTAATCATAATCAAAGTGCTTCTTTCTGTCACTGACAGGCTCTTGTTATAAATGTCTACAGCTGCTTAGAGAGAGATTTTTTAAAGAGCCTGATCATTTTGGTTTAATCAGAAACAAGTGATTTATGCCAGAACGTCCTGTCCTCCCTGTTTCTCCTCACTGCTTCCCTGATATCCGCCCCTCCTCCTCCTCCTCACCGCGTATTTTCATACCTGCTGTGGCGAATGAAGCCTTTGAGCCAAACCACAGTTGGTCATTGAACAGTGTAAAGGTAAACCAAAAAAAAAATTTTTTTGTTTCTGTCAATCTTGAATGAAGTGATGCTAAAATACTGTTTCTGTAAATGGAGCTCTGCTTTGAACAGAGAAGTAAAGATGCTTTTTGTGATAGAGGAAAATTATTTTATTCATTTCACAAAAAGATGTATCTTTGTAGACCATAGTGCTGTCAAACACTCACAGCTGTACATGGCTGTGATAAAACAAGTACTATCAGTGAAAATACTTTGATGGCATGAAAAAATGTAACAAAAGGGCAAATTATTATGTGTAAACACAATACTGATGTAAAAAACAGTCTGGCGTGCTCAGTCATCCAGATAAGGAAATTCTGCCTGACCGGAGAGGTGATGAAACGTTTCTCCCACTGAAAACATGAAAATAGAACTAAAAATAAAATATTAGTAAAAGTACAAATTTATGACAGCTCTTGCATTGCATCAGTTTTCCTAATGAACTGCTTAATAAGTGTATATTAATGTTACAAATGGTAATAATGTTACAGACGTTCTACATATTCATATTTTTATGCACATAGCAGTGTTTGAAGTATGATGTTGTTTTTCAGAGAGTAACTTATAATTGTGCTAAATATGCTTGTTGCACTCTCCTTTATAAATAATCTCAATAGGCAGCTGGAACAAGTTGTCCTGGTGGCATCTTCACCATCACTGTTGAGAGAGGCGATGCCAGCACAGACAAAGCATTGTTTCTTACATGGATTCTGCATGTGCAGATTCAGGAACACTGAATCTCATTTACCCTCAGCAACTGAAGCCAGCTGTGAAGTACTTCAGAACATCTTCCTTCAGCTGGATGCCAGCAGGCTCTTGACCAAAGTACAGATGCTCAATAATAATGTGTATGAATGAGCCAACCATTCATTTGGATGCTGAATCTTCTGACAAATGGGCAGAATTTTTTTTTAGACTGAAAGTGAATAAAATGATCCATTGGTTGAAAACAGCAGAGGAGGGAAAAACTACACTTGAGAAAATGTTAGCAAACTTTGTAAAGTTTGTTGAAGGTTGGTGAGCAAGTTCAAATTATATGTTTATGAGGTATGTCGTATTTATACTCCATGCAACAGTACGTAAAATGTAATTGCAATACAGACAAAGAGTAAAGAAAAATATGTGATTTTGACTGCAGGGTGAATGTGTGTAAACATACTTACGTGTGCACGACTAAAGTGTCATCTTATTGACCTCTTATGTTGGCAGAAATGTTGTCATTTTCATTTATCTGTCCATCAGTGTCATGTGGTTTGGGTTTTTCTTTTAAACTCACCTACAGTGCAGGCATATATTGATCAGTATTACAGTTAAAATCTACACAGATTCATAAAGGAATACATCCAACCAGTGTTCCCTCTAAGCTGTGCGTGGAGACTGTGTCAGCAATGCGCGATTGATCCAACTAAAGCAGGATAACATTTATTGTTCCTGAGCTTCATGTCAAAGTAAGGAAAAAGATCAGAGATGGATCATCAGCGCAAGATTATTATCAGAAATGGTTTCCATACTGTTAACTGTCGAGTGGTTTGAAGATGCAAGATCATTAAGATCGGTGATATGCTCAGACTCAAGTTCATCATTGGCTGGTTTGCAAGACAGTCACTCAGATAGCAGGCCACACAATCTGATAGAGATTCAACAAACACTATGGAGTTGATACGATGGGGCTTATGGTCACCTTCTTGGGTACCAGCGCATCATGAATCAGGGGAAATGAAAAGGCAGGTGTTATGGGGAATCTTATGCTGAGTAATTGTATTTGTAATGTTTTATTGTAAGTTTGGGGCACTGAGAATTTAATTCATAGAGTCCCCAGGAGACATTGAAACAATGTTTAGTCAATATCAGGTCATTCTATTGAATCAACGTAGTGAATTCACTACACTCCCCTCAGAAAATAAATGTGCTTTTGTTTTATCTTTGTTTTAAGACAATGATCAGCTCAAAGTGCTCAAAACATTTCTCATGCTGAAATAAAGAGCACTTATCAGCCTACTGGAAACAGATTATTTCAGCCCGGTTTCCTGTTTGTAAGCTGACTGATCTGCTGCCCAGTGTCCATCACTCCCTCCTGTTAAATCCTGTTTGTCACTTTTAACCCAGATCAGTCACTCTGAGGGGAAACAGGCTCCAGCAGCTCTGCGCTGAGAAAATGGGCTGCAGTTGCTTATTTTGTGGAGAATATGGGATGACGTTACCAGGGGTGTCCAACCCCAGGCCTCCAGGGCCGGTGTCCTGCAGGTTTTAGATCTCACCCTGGGTCACCACACCTGAATCAAATGATTAGTTCGTTACCAGGCCTCTGGAGAACTTCAAGACATGTTGAGGAGGTCATTTAGCCATTTCAATCAGCTGTGTTGGATCAAGGACACATCTAAAACCTGCAGGACACCGGCCCTCGTGGCCTGGAGTTCCCCCACCCCTGCGTTACATTAAACAGCAGCTGTCCACGTTAAACCATCACTGTCACGTGGGCGTGTTTCCTGTATCAGCAGCAGGTGTTTAACAGCTGACAGGTAAACCCGCGGGCCAGTCAAACTAATCGTTGTCGTGAGGAAAATGTCGACTCGTTGTTTATGTTGCAAAAAGACGGACCAGGCAGAAGGTGTTTTGTTTTTTTTTTTTAAAAATTAAAATAATTTAATTGTTATCTGAATATAATATCGATACGTGTATATATTTGAACGAGCTGGAGATGGAGACTTTATTTTGCGGAGGTCTTTAATCTTGTTAGAGCGATCAGACGGTTCCGTGAAAATGGCGAATCTGCGGATGCAACATTTTTAACACGGAGAGTGGAAAACAAACAAATCTAACCAGTTAATGTAAAAACTAGTTAACAAGGAATACTGGAACTATTGCGATGTTCTATGAACATCCATTGCTGTTTAAAAAAAAAGTTTATTGGATGAATGGAAATTAAGCGATTTTGGGACAAAACGAATTCCATCAATTTTTCGGCGTATGATGTGTAGCGCATGCGCAACGCTTGCTCTTCCTTTTTGATAGCTTCTTCACCATGGCGCCTATTGTAAGTAAAAAGTCGTGCTAAAATCTATCGAAGTTGTATCTTTTCCTATATGAAATCTGGGAAAAACTGGCTTGTTGCAGCTACATGGACTAAAATGTAGGGTTTGGGTCTGTTTGTGATGGTTTTTTTCTGTTACACAGCTGAGTTTTTTGTGGCCTATGGCTGTCTGTGAGTTAACGTTAGCTTAGCAGCGTCGCAGAGCTAACCACGTTGCTAGCCCTATAACGATACCCTTGTTTAATAAGGTGCGCAGATAAGGTTTTGGAGGCTGACAGTATCTACGGAGCTATGTTTGTTTGTTTGTTTGACCTGTTTGTTAGTTAATCGCTCCGAGACGTGAACGTTACTAGTCGGGGGATTGACGCAGAGCTCAACTCATGGAGATGTTTTTAATTACTTTTAGTCGTACTTATCAAAACATTAAAGAGTCGAAAATAGCACTTATGCATACTTAATGTTGTCATTGAACGTTCTTATAATTAAAATCGAGCTTTGGCTAGAAACTAAGTACAGTTGCATCATCACGTATATTAAACTGTTATGCTGAATACATATAACTGCGTAGGTAAAAGCAAAATCCGCTGTTGATTCAGATTGCAGGATTTTTGAATTAATCAGTTGAATGTGACGGTGACCAGATTTTACTAATCGCTCTTCGGACCTATGTGCTGCACAAACAACAATTAACAGTTTGATACATTGGAATGTTAACAGTTGGTTGTTGTTGGTTTTTTTTTTTTTAAACTAAATTTCGTTCATATAAATGCAGTGGACAGCCTAGAGGTTCTTTGCAGTGAAGTAAATGTTTGTCCTTCCATTGGCAGAAGAAGCAGAATGCCAGCAAAGGTGGTAAGAAGAAAAAGCAGGTCCTAAAATTCACACTGGACTGCACGCACCCTGTCGAAGATGGCATCATGGATGCTGCCAACTTTGTAAGTTTTAAGCTGTAACTTTTTCTGAGTTATTTTATTACCAATTTAAGACTAAAGGCTGTCCTGCACAAGCTGCAGGGCCTCTTTGAGATGACATTCCTAGCCAGATCTGGCTCACTCTACACCCTTTTTGAGTTCAGCCTCCATTTGGATTAGCTCGTGAAACCACACCTTTACACACACCTAAGCTTCGGACTATATTTTTTCTTCTTCTCTTCAGTCGGTAACATTTCTTGCTACAGATGTCTTTACGGCCACTTGACGCTAAGGATGAATGTCATTAGCATTTTCTCAGTACTGGTAGTTGTCAGCACCTAGTTACTGATACTCACTATAATTTAGTGTGAAATGCTTAGTTACGGGTTATACTTATACAAGTTGTTAAGAACAAACTAACAAGGCCAATGTGGTTATGTATTACAAAGCTGAGGTGGTGGCATTTTTTCTGGCAAGAAACAGTGTTTTTACATGTTTAAGATGATATCTAAAACAAATAAGAGTAGGGGTTTTTTTCTTCTCTTTTAAGCAACAAGAAAATTGGTAAGTACCAACCAAGTTTCTGCACGTTGAACAGATAATGAGGTAAAGGTCTCCTTTCTGTGTGGCTCCTGTCAATTGATGAAGCTTTCTAGGTGCTAATTAGCTTTCTAAACTGCAGTCATTGGTTATTGCTCACGAGCATTTTGATGTCAACACAGCAGAATAACAGCTGTGATTGGAACACCTGAATTCAACAACTTGGGTGGGTGAGTGAATACTCAATGTGGTTTACGCGCCACCAGAATAGCTGCACCAAATATCAACAAACTGGGTGGTGGATTAAAAGCTGTGCACAAGGACAAACGTTCTCATAATGCCAGTAACTGTACCTAGGATAAAGAAATGCAGATCTATTGCTTAAATAAAAATAGTGCTCGTTATTTTGACTTGAGGTGGAAAAACACTTGAACATTTAGTTTGAACATTGAAGGCTTTGCTGGAAACACAGGACTCTAAAGCAGTTACATGAATTAACACCGAAGGAATAACCCCAGAAATGACTGATTTTTGAATATGTAATTATCTACTTGGGGACAAGTTTAATACCAGGGTTCTGTAGCCATCGAACTCACAGCCATACAATTGGAAAACAGCTCGTAATAATCCATACTACTGTTAGCTTCATTTAAGCAAAAAGGCCTGATGCATTTAAAATCCACAAACTCACTCACCCAAACAGATTTGTTGGTTTTATTAGAACTTTGCTTGTTACTCTTCAGTGAACTTGTTGCTCATGTGGAGCATAAATAGAGCCGTCGATATAAAGTAACATTTTTACCACGTGTTAATTGCAGGAACAGTTTCTGCAGGAGCGCATTAAAGTGAACGGCAAGGCCGGGAACCTTGGTGGCGGTGTGGTCTCCATTGAGAGAAGCAAGAGCAAGATTACAGTGTCCTCTGAGGTGCCCTTCTCCAAAAGGTATCAGGCACTCACTGTGTTGTTTGTTCCTAATGTAAAGTTCTGAGTAAGATGACGAGACCACATTACTAACAGAAGCAAATGTAAAGACCAGTTAACTCAACATCTACATATAGATCATGTGACGTTACTAAAAACTGCTATTGGTGATTTCACTGTGCTGAAGGGTTCATGCAGCTGCAGCCATTCACAAATACTAACATTAACATTTTCATTTTAAGACATTAACAATATGGTGGCATATCAGTGTCAAACGACAGCTGACACACATCTTTAATCCTCAATGACTAATAAATGTAAAAATAATGAAACAATGTCTAATAAAGTGTCAAATATATTATATGAAATGTAACTTTCTCTCTTGCTGTGCAAGAACAAAGCTGCACAGGGTTTTTATTGAGTAGAATCATCATGTGACGTGAGCTGGGATATTACAACTGAAGACTGGAACCTGTAGTAACTCTTAAAAAAACATGGAACATTTCACAGCTAGTGAACTTATTAGTCATTTTTTATTTAATAGAGGATTCCAGAAAAGTTGAGTCTTTTCAAAACTAAAAATGGATAAATGTATTTGCCACGTAGGCAAATAGTTTAACAATTAATGATGATGTCAGGGAATGGATATTTAGGGAGTTCATCATCATCATGATCCATGAGAAAACGGCCCATGGTGAACAGGATTCAGTTCTTAAAGGTATAATGGCAGTTATGAGTTCAGATGTCGCCACACCACCACTCTGTTGTGTTTGTGGGGGAAAATGTGCTATTTTCATCGCATTGTTAAAGCAAGGTTTGCATAGCTTTTTGTAACATTCCATATACCAGGAAGCTATCCATTAGAGATGGACCGATCCGATATTGCGTATCGGTATCGGTCCGATACTGACCTAAATTACTAGATCGGATATCGGAGAGAAATAAAAAATGTAATCTGATCCATTAAATATCAAAAATCACCTCACAAAACTTGCGACATGGCATAACTCGGCTCATAACCGTAGCATGTCGGAGCAGTATGCATCACGTGATAGAGCGGCTGTGGCGTGCGGGACCTGTCCTGTCTGGTTGAGCATTTAAAGCCTCGCTACCAAACTGGCATTTCATCTCTGAGAAAGTTATCCCACAGAGAGGCAAAGCAAGTGTGTAAGTTCATCTCTGAATGTTTGTAAAGCATTCCCGTGTTAAGCTTAACAACCGATATATGGAGCGACTGCCTCTTCTCTCCCTCCCTCTCTTGCTGCTACTTCAATCGTGAAACTGATCAATGATCAGCTGATCGGCTTTTCTGTCGCGAGTCCGTCTCTCTTGCTTGTTTTTGGCCCACTTCGCACCAGAAAGGGGAAACCAGCAGCTGAACAACAGCAGCAGGTTTAAGCTTGATAATCTGTTGTTAGAATTTATTTAATATTACTTTCTACACCAGGATCCTTTTCTACGTAGCTGACGGCTGGTAACTGTGCAGGGGCGGATCTAGCAAAGTTTAGCCAGGGGGACCGATAGGGCATGAACAGGGAAAAAGGGGGCACAAAGACATACTTTTCTTTCTTATTTTCATTTAAAATGTCTAGCTTTGAATAAATAATTATCTGAATCTTACACTCAAAGTTTTAATTTGATGTAAAATGTATAGAAGTCCATTACTGTATATAGTAACTATTAAGTCTAATATACCCTAGTAAACTATAGTACTTTTTCCTTTGGGAAGGTACCATCTGTGCAGTCTGCAGTTCTGTCGAAGAAAGATGTTGAATCTATTTAATTATTCTTGAAAAATAATTTATTTCTGTGCACTTTTTTTTTACATTGCATCAAATTAAAATTGATTACGTCAATTAAGCATCATGAGGTGGAGGGTGGTTCCCTTTTTTTTTTTTTTTTTTTTGCTGGGTGTTTTAGAACCCTATTAGTTAGGTTGTTTAATATTTCTGCTAAGTACTCTTTAAAATACCAGAATAGGGAGGATGGAGTAGGTTTAAGTTTATTAGATTGATCAGTATTGCTGAACTATGAAATATTTTGGGTGCAGTGTATTTTTTATTTTTTTTATTTTTTACATACAGGTGTAACAGAATAGCTTTAATGGTTTGATTTTTGTTGTTGTTGTTGTTGTTTGTTTTTTAAACTTGAGTTTGAACTAATACAAAATGCAGCAAGATATTAAAAAAACAGTTTTATTGATTAAAAAACACACTATCGACTTCATATCGGTATCAGCCGATATCCAAATTTATGATATCGGTACCGGACATAAAAAAAGTGGTATTGTGCCATCTCTACTATCCATAACCCACCCACTCACCCACCGTGCTGCTGTTCCCTGAAGGGGATTCAACTGATGATGGAATTCATCTCTTGTTTTTCCAGATACCTGAAGTATCTGACAAAGAAGTACCTGAAGAAGAACAATCTCCGTGACTGGCTGCGTGTTGTTGCCAACACCAAGGAGAGCTATGAGCTCCGCTACTTCCAGATTAATCAGGATGAAGAGGAGGAAGAAGATGATGATTAAAATGGCAATTAATTGGATTTTGTGTATTTAAATAAATGTTGTTTACAATACAGAGTTTTTGTTTAAGGTTCTTTTTCATAATGTGATGACAGATCTGGAGAAACATTATTCATTCCAGTGTTACTGCACTGTAGAGCACTCACTGTAGGATCTACATAGGACCCAATGAATCATGGAAACAAGATTTAAAGAAATTGCAAATTAAGCAGCTCAGATAGGCTGAAATAAAACTGAGCGATGTGATTTTGTTCATTCTTCATTGTTATGAAGTGGGCGGAGTCTTCATATGGTCAAATATGAGTCAATTACTGCTGGAGTTGAAAACAAACTGTAATTTAATGTAAGAGTTTCTTACTGTCCTGTGACAAACCCAATACACCCTCTGACTTATTAGCTTGTAGATCCAGCTTTAGGAGGAAATGTTTTCTGTTTGTCTTGCGTTATTGTAGAGCAATTTTGGCCCCACTACAACAATCTGTTGTGGATTTGCTGGTGTGTTTGGGGTCACTCTCCTGTTTCTCAAACCAGTTTTGCTTCATATTAAATGGCGCTGTTTTCGTAGTCTTGATGGTGGTGATTTGGTGGCTGAGGAAAGGCACAGACCAGTTTCATGTCATTCCACATGATACCACTCAGCCAAGTGTGTATTCAAGTGTGTATTCAGCAAACACTACGACTGTACAGTACAGATAAGATTTAGAGGCAAATGATGCAGAAAAAGATGGTAGAAAGCAAAAGAGTGATACATGTAGAAAAAAGAGCGATAGAGTAATGAAGTACCAATACTTCAGGTTTCTGTACTATTTTTTTTTTCTGACAACGTTTTGCTTTTAATCCCTACAGTTTTAAACTGGTATCTGAACTTTCTACTCCTTCTACTCCTTTCAAAAGTGTGTGTGTAGGTCTGCTTAAGTCAGACCTACACACACACCCACCCACTGCTAGCACGGGGCGCCTACACAAACGCAAAGCAGGAGATGAAGCATCGCTGAATATGTTTCCAAACCAACTTCATTCTAAGCCAGAGACTAAAAAAATATGGTGAAGCATATCTTCCCTTTGGTTTCACCTGCACAAGTGCTGAGGTAGGTCTCCCCGACAGAATTGGTTTTCCCTGTGTCGGGAGCAGCACTGGGCTCTTCAAAATGTGAGTGAAGTTGCCCCCCCCCACCTTCTTCAAATCCAACAAAAGTGGTATCAAACGTTTGTGCTGGTTTGTGCTGCAAAAATTTTCGTTTGTGCTACTATCATTTTAAAGATATTAATAAAAATTTCTAGAGGTCATCAGAGGTCAACCAGCCCCCCCATTATTAATGGAATCAAACAAAATTGGTGTCAATCAGTTGTGCTATGTTTGTGCTGGTTTGTGCTGCTAAAATTGTCGTTTGTGCTGCTTCTGTTTTAAAGATATTAATGAAAAGGTAAAGGTCAAAAGGTCAACCAGCCCCCCCACATTACCCAAATCAAACAAAAATTGATGTCAAACGTTTGTGCTATGTTTGTGCTGCAAAATTTTTTGTTTGTGCCGCTATCATTTTAAAGATATTAACAAAAATTTCTAGAGGTCAACAGAGGTCAACCCTCCCCCCCACATTAATGGAATCAAACAAAATGGGTGTCAAACGTTTGTGCTGCAAATTTTTTTGTTTGTGCTGCTAACATTTTAAAAATTTTAATAAAATAATGTCTTGATGCATGCTTAATCATGCAGGTAAGTAAATCCCAAAAGGTTGATTCTGTTCATCTGGACATTTTCAGTTGGAGAAACGTTTCGTCACTCATCCAAGTGACTTCTTCAGTCTCAGCTAACTGCAGGTTTCCCCAACCTTATAAACACATGTGAGTGAAGTTGGCCCCCCCTACCTTCTTCAAATCGAACAAAATTGATGTCAAACATTTGTCCTGCAAATTATTTTGTTTGTGCAGGTTATGTTTCCCTAATTTTATAAACAGTACATGTACAGTGAGAGAGAGATGTTACATCTGTCTTCACTTGCATCCCAGTCATAGAAGCGTTGGAGGTAGTTCATAAGAGATTACAGGATCACCCCAACCTCAGCAACAGGACCACTCTCAGCACTGATCAGTTGTGTTTGCTTTTGGAACTGTCTTAATTCCACCTATTTTGCATAAGGGTCATTACAGGCAGAAACCTTGGTGTGCCATGGGTTCCCACAGGCCCCTGGTCAAAGTCACCAAACCAGTTCGTAAGCAGGTACAGGTGTGGCCAGTAGGGTCCTCAGAGGCACTGCAAGACTGCTTTTCCACCACAGGCTGCCACACACGACAACACCAGACTTTCAGGAATATACAGAAACTGTTACTGCCTATATCCCAAAATGCATCGATGATGTCACAGAGACCAGGTGTCACGGGTTGCTTAGAGGATCCACTCACAGGACTCATGAGTAGCGTTTAAACAGAGATGGTTTATTTACAGATCTTCACCAAGTGTATGTACAGACAGTGCGGGGTTAGTGCTATATACAAGACGTGAGGGGCAGGGGTCCAGGGCTCCAGGGAAAACACACACGCGCTCAGTTCAACCTCTCTCTTCTCCGCTAGCGACCAGTCACTCCTTCCACACTCCACACGGGGAAACACGGGGACGGGTCCGGGGAATCTAGGAACAAAGAAACACTCGTTAAGTCTCTGAGACGGAGGCACAGGAAACTTGAGCTAGACGTGTACTGACTAGAGCCTTCACAACAATCCAGCGTTGAACAGCTGATCTCCTCCTTCTAATATACCAGCTGGTCTGATGAGGCCCAGGTGTTCCCAATCCAGGAAGGCGTGGACCGAGGGCGTGAAGCTGCCAATCCAGGAGTTATGGTCAAAGGTCTTAAAATACCCCAATTTGTCCTGTTATCTACTGTAATTCAAGTTGTTGTTACAAAGTAAGTGGTGAGCTGGCAGAGGTTTAAAAAAAAAAAGGTAAGGTTACTCAAAACTGAAAAATCATGTACATTTCACAACGATGCAACATGGGTTAACAATTTAAAGCTGTTCTGCAGCAATGGAGGTCGATCAAGCCTTGAAAGCTGGTATAATTCCTACAGCTGTTCCAGCTGTTGTGGATTACTCTGTCTGCATAAAAGTTGAACAGTGTTGTACTGCAGAAAGTAGTGTGTTGGTACAAAAATGGTGAGAAAAAGGCGATTAACAATGGAAGAGAGAAGGACCATCATAATACTAGCCAGCTGAGTCTAATAATATGGGGTGATAACAGGAGGAAAAACTGCAGAGGCGTGTAAGACTGGTCTCCACTATAGTCACGTTTTGGGTAGGTTCAATAAATTTGTCCAGATTTCTAGAAATTAGAGTTGCTCCATCCAAACTGGGATGGATTCTGTGTCTCTTAGAAATACCATGTTTTCCCCAGAAAGTTTCCAAATGATCTATAAAGCCCACATTTTTGGACACCACTCAGACAGCCACCATTTTAAGGCAAACATGGACCCTAAAGATCTTTAAAATATGGTTTATCTAACCAGATTCTTACTCTGGATAGCATTACCTTGGCCTCCAGTAACGCTGTGAGGAACCTTGGAGTCATTTTTGACCAGGACATGTCCTTCAATGCACATATTAAACAAATATGTAAGACTGCTTTCTTCCATTTGTGCAACATCTCTAAAATTAGAAATATCCTGTCTCAGAGTGACGCTGAAAAACTAGTTCAAGCATTTACTTCTAGTCTGGACTACTGTAATTCATTATTATCAGGAAGTCCTAAAAACTCCCTGAAAAGCCTCCAGTTAAATCATGCTGCAGCATATTTCACCTACACTGACTTCTCTTCATTAGCTCTCTGTTGAATCCAGAATCAAATTTCTCATCCCATATAAGGTCTTGAAAAATCAGGCTCATCATAAAGACCTTGTAGGCTGTTAATTTACTTGTTGTTCCTAGAGTATTTAAAAGTAGAATGGGAGGCACAGCCTTCAGTTTTCAGGCCCCTCTTCTGTGGAACCAGCTCCCAGTTTGGATTTGGAAAACAAGATTCCCTCTCTACCTTTTGGATTAGGCTTAAAACTATTTAAGTGCTCAATAAAGCATATAGTTAGGGCTGGATCAGGTGACCCTGAATCCTCCCTTAGTTACACTGCTGGGGGGCTTCCTTTGATGTGAAGAACCTTCCCCCCCCTCTCTGTTTCTACACTACTCTGCATTAAATCAGTCATTATTTCTCTGTGGTTTTCTTCCACTACAGTGTTGTCCGGTCTTCCTGGTCATGAGCGCCCCTCTGAGCCTGGTTCTGCTGTAGGCTTCATGTTAAAAGGGAGTTTTCTTTCCCACTGTTACCAAAGTGCTTGCTCATAGAGGACATCAGATTGTTTGGATTTTCTCTGCATCTTCGAATGGTCTTAACCTTACAGTGAAGCACCATGAGGCAACTGTTGTTTGGTGCTGTACAAATAAAACTGAACAAACAGGCCACCATTCACACACCCCTCCCCATCAACCTCCCCACCTCTGAGGTGGATGGATGGCTGAATCGTTTTTTTCAATCTGACCTGAGTAGAGGTTTGACTGCACAGACAAATTCATTTACAGGAATTTTTATTCAACCATTTCAATGAAATAAAAAAGCAAGAAACAAACCAAACAAAAACATAATAACCCAGAGAAATTTCACCATTAAAAAGAACGCACTGCACCTTATCACGTCGAACGAGTTTAGACAGTGCATTGGTGGTTTTGAAGGTTCAGACCTGTTTGTGAAATTGCTTAGAGCGCTGTAAAAGTTAAACTTAATGAAATAAGCAAGAGAAAAAAAAGAGCTAAGAGACTCTGTGGTCTTGGAAGGACTGAGGCGTGCATCATTGATGCAAACATTGAAGAAACAAGGAATGTAACATCAACATGAAGTGCACAGAACATGACTGCTGTGTCTCAGGTAATATTCTTCCATACACTTACTATTTAATGCATAAGTGTGCTCACAATGACAAGTGCGACTGCATAGAGTAAACAGAGTACCTGAATGGTATACTCAACAGCTGGACCAGGATGCATACGAGCCATCCGTGTTGTTGCACCAGATCATCTTTTCTTAGTTTCCTGTGTATCCATAACAACAATCAGCTTGGCATTTTTCAGACTTTTGGCAGTTGTTAATAAAGCTGTGGTGTTGTCAAACTGCACATGGATACTCCAAGTATAATTTGCAAAGAAAAAAAGTATTTTAAACCTCATTCTGGGGCAGTCTCCAAAAGTGTTTTAATCAGATTTGACTCGTG